CTACTTACTTTAATGTAAACATATTTTCATACAATATGTACAGTATAGTACAATACAGTATGTTCATATATTTTTGTATATATGTCAATTTTGAATATATTTATATCTGCTTGGTATATGATCATCTACTATAGATTGTTACAAGAAACTGATTGATTAAACTAATATTGTCTCATTACTTGTTTGTAGAATGTAAATCTACAAAAAAGGTCGGAGAAATTGTTCCAGAAAAGTGTGGTTCTCAGGAAAGGCGTGGTAATCAGCCGCCTGACATCAAAGAGAAGGAATTAGTCGTGTTCAGAAGTGGTTGGTCGATCGAGCGGCATGTTCTTTTGACAATGTCTCGAGGTCTGTCAAGAAGTTTCTATGAGCAGACTGGCAACCAGCCACTCGACCAATCACTTTCTCCACTATCTACCAGAAGAAAACCCAAAAATAAAACAACATATAAGGAAAAAACAAAAAAAGCAAGCGCTCTGGAGGAATTCCGGAAAAGAACAGAACGAGTAGATATATTTTTGATTATCAGTGATTTGAAAATTTAAAACTATAACAAAATTAAGAAGATTAGAAGTTGAAAGGAAATCAAGAATTTAAAAATTAATTTGCAATTTTCAAATCTAGAAATTTGGATTTATTTTAAATTGTGTTATGATCACGTGGAACTAATTGCTAATAGTTCTACTATTTTGTGTAATAATACCATTGACTAAATAGGATAGACCTGACAACTAATATTTTTTCGTATCCTATGTTTTAGGGGTCACCTCCGCATTATATCGATTAGGATAGGTTCTGCAGCGCTACTAAATTTTAACTAATAATTCATAATAATCGACTTGAGCAATATATTTAAGACAAATTACGTGGATTATTGAATGAAATAATTAATTTAATTGTATTCAAACTATAAAATAATACATTTCTATGATATTTTTCTATATTAATTAATAATTTTGACTATTTACTTCTAACTAGAAGATAGAATCCGTGATTGAATTCTCTTATACTTCTATGCATTAATAGTTTGAATAATTCATTTATAAACAATTAAATTATTTTATTTACAATAACGGAAAAGATAGTTACATAATGCATTTCTTGCTCTCTGAAACAATAAACGAGCGGAAATTTTTATATTCTGAAGCGATGGTTAGTACTTAACTTGATTTTTGACTACATAATTTTTGTCTACATAAATATTTATTTAATGCGTATCGCTGCAGTTGTAATTAAAAAATAGTATCATGAGAGTGTAAATTTAGTTTTAATTGATAAACAATTATTACATTATTATACTTAACATTCGTAATAAATCAGTAGAAGTGTAACTACAATAGAAATATAAAAATTATTAAATTGTTGATTAGTATAATAGAAAAACTATTCTTCGAAATATTAACAAAAATTATTAATTGTTCCACATCACTGACAACATCAGATTAATCTCGACCGGTACGGAGCTCACTATATTCTGTCGATAGTCCTGACTAAACATACTATGTCTAGCGACAATCGAATGTAAAACCAGATGCCTCCCGTTATCACTAATAATTTATTACAATTTTTCTCTTCCACTTTACTGAACTTTGTCATATGTAGGTTTTTATAAGTGTGATTCAGTCGATTAATATTTATCGATAATAGGGCTTTCAACTTATGTAGCTACTTAGTGGCTTACATTTAATACTTATATACTTGCGTAATACTCCAATTTAAAAACTCCTCCCTAAAAAAGACTTAAGACTAAGCAAAAAACAATCGCATAATTGTTGAATTATATAGAGAGATATACTATAGATTGTTTCTAAAAATATCATTAATTTTAATGGGGTGATATTCACAATATTCCATTTACTATTTTTTTTTATTGCATGTTTTTTTACTTACTTAATGTAATCCTTAATAAATAGTGTTTCGTTTTCGCCATATGATATCAATTTATTTTAATTAGATAACAATTGCCTTAATAATTGTTTTAATTAGATAATAATTAACATGATAAACAACTAATTCTAGAACAGAAGAACAGATGCCGAGTCATCTCATAGTAGTACTTATTTATGCGACAGATTATCTCTAGGGATAGCTACTATTTAGGGTAAAACCCTTTGGCGGTAGACGATACTCTAACATTCTAATCTATGTAGTCGGAACACCGAAACTTCTCTTCTGCCGGAAACCATAATTATTAAAGATGAAAAATTTACATTTCGTACGTCTACTTCCGGATTATGTTGTGTTCTTTTGTGAAGAATGACAAGGTGGATATTTCTGAACTTCATACTTAAAATGAAATTATTATTAATATATTAATAATATACTGTTATATAATTATTATTAACATATAATTATTAAGGATATAAGATATTAATGATATTTAGAAAATATAAGATATTAAGATATTAAGATAAGAGATAAATATAAAATATAAGATATTAAGATATAAGATATTAAGATAGAAAATTTTTATGAAAATATAGAAAAATTCAAATGTTTGAAAATTAAAAATGTAGCGTTTAAAAATTTAAAAATATCGGGAGATGCAGAATTATAAAATTAATTTTCATCTATTCCTCATTTTGTATTAAACCAGATGACTTCATTGGCAAAAATTCATTCCGTTAAATTATTTATCGTATTTCGATCTAGATCTCTTATGTTTCGTTATTCGTTATCTATAAACCTGAAAAAATACAGATTAATAAACAACAATGTTTTAATTATCTCGTGCGAAACAATAAAAAATAAGATTATTTAATTGAGCATGCCATTTTGGTACTAATGGGTGAAAAGGAGTCGAAAAGATTCGCTGAAGAAGACGAAGAAAAAGCTTGTTACGAAGAGAAAGAAGTCACTGGTCACGCCCTCGTTTCAAATTACTTTACGATGAGATCGGCAGCGACAGTGGGCGTCAATCGGTAGGATCGCTTACACGAAACTTAATATGGATCGTTTTTTTTCTAATGCTTGGCTTTAAAAAAAACCTTTTATCCAAAATCTGTTACCATCAACCTCCATTTTTCTATTATCAAGTCCTCGAACTTAATACATCACAATAGATAGGTCATGCTAGCCTCAGCAATCTTTCTTTAAATTATAGAATATTTAATACTATGACTCTATGTACTTAAATTGTAAAAAATTAAAAATGAATGATTAACTAAAAATTTCTCTCGCGCAAGAGAATTGGATAATGTTAGTGAAATCTTGCAAAAAAAAGTTATCAGTATCAATATAACAATAACAAGTTTGGTAATTTTACAAATTATAAATTATCTCATTATTCTATTTGATGAAAAATTATAAAATTATAAAAGAGAAATTCTTATAACTTGATTAGCCTTATATCAGTTTATATTTTGTACCAAATATTTCTTACATGCGTATCTTTACCAACTAATAAGAAAAATGTATAACCTATAGCTTGATTAATTTATCAATGCAGTAATATTATAACTTGGTAAATTATTGTACGAAAAGATTCAGATCTCGGTTCTGTTAATCATTTACCTATGGGAATAAAAAAGAATAGAAATGTTTGGAAAGTCATTGAAGAAGTTTTTCACATGGTCCTCAAATATTTTGGAATGGTATAGCTTTAGGATTGACTCTGGCGCCAACTTAGGCGCCAACCTCTTATTGCGGATCTTGTCCTGGAAAATTTACGAGTTTTTCTTAAGTTTCATACATTGCCGTAAGGAAGGAAAAAAGAATAATCCCTGATGTAGGTAAAAGTCCCATCTCGTCTCTCATGTGCAACCACTTGAACTTTTTTACATGTGGTTCTTTGTATTTCACATTCGATTGGACTTCTCTTTTCTTTTACCTTCTGCGAATCTTTCGACACGACGCGATGTAATGCATTGAACATGGATTTGTGAAACTTATCTTTGTTGTTCCTTTTTCTTAAAATAATAAATAGATAATAATAATTATTACATAATATTATAATAATTATTGTATCGTTATATATAAACTAATAACAATTATGGAACGTTACCAAAATATGGATTGTACCTGAATATAAGACTTAAGATTTTCTCCAAAAAAATTGTAATTTATAATCTGATAAATGAAGATTGTAACAGAGATGATTGTTTTTTGAATCAAGCAAAGATTAAAATTTGTAATAGAATGAATATAAACAAATCATTCTAACGTTAATAAGATAAAAAAGAATATTTCTTTACTTAAAATTTTAAATAGTCATGTAGTCTTGATTATTAGAAAAAGTTTTTCTAATTATCTTAATTAGCCTAGGACATTCCCTTCCAAAGACATTATTTTGCACTTCTTTGTAACTTCTTTTTTTTTTATCAAATCTTTCATTCTACTTCAATTGTCAATTAATTTATTTATAGATTTTTAGAAATTTACAAATGAACAGTTCCTTTTTTTAATCACATATTTTGTCTTTTTTTAAATTCCTTCATACCTGTACTATGCATCCGTTCATTGTTTCCAGATTTCTCTGGAAATTTCTTAAGGGAAGAATTCACATGCGTGCCAGATATGAATCCAAGTCTTCCTCCCTTATATATCCAAGACGTTCGGCGACCAATTGTACAGAATAGATCTATTATGTTCTAGCTTTTAACTTGCATGTTCACAGATGGAACTTGATGGGTTCAGTCAGCATTGTGCGTCCCCTAGCGTTAGGTTACATTTTATTGCGCCAGTTGTCTTTCCTTGGTGGCGCGTGACACAGGTTAAGTTGTCTCTTGAAGAAGATACTTTTCTTTCATTTCTTTGGTTTTTTTTTTAGTTCGTCAAGGGAGGTCGGCGCCAGTCTCATCATAGTATCCCGTCGATATCGTAGAAAGAGACATAGTTTCTTTAAACATACGGATCGGTGTCCAGGAAATTGGAGAATGCACGATGTGAAAAATGTTTGGTATCCGACCTTGCGTCTTTGAAATTAGAAACACCGAACGGAAGCTGGATATAGAACTCTGTGGTGCATTGCAATTTTTTTAACTGAAAAAAGATTTGTATCTTTTCTTTCTTTCTTTCCTTTTTTTGTACCTATAACTTAGAAAAAAATTTTAAGGATATTTCTTTTTCTCTTCTTCATTCGTTAATCTAATTTTACTTTATAAGAGTATAAACCACGATTAATAACATTTCATAAGATATAATTCTATTCTGCATTATTCATAAGATATAATCTGTTATTTTATTATTATATCATGAAGGATAATCGTGGAATTCTTTATTATGTAAAGAATTCTACGGTTCTTAATTATGTATAAAGAACATAGTTTTCTTATGAAATTTTATTAATTTAGAAATTGAAAATGAATTATTACATGGAATAAAAAAATTAATACGAAGAATGAATGTATGTAAAGATTATTGAAACAATTATATATCATACATAACAATTCCAACATATATATTACATATACATGTGTATATTTAACAAAGAGTTCTTTCAAATTTTTCAAACATCTGTTTTTATATCGTTTCAGAATTATCGAATAGTCACTCTTCACTTTCCAGAAATTCTCAATAAACGTAACTGCGTATTTCCAAGGTCTTTCTGTTCTTCATTCTACTAGTTTATTGTGCATGCTAATAAAGCGTGACTAAAAACGGCCGGATATTGAGGATGGAAATCGGTATGGAAATAATGCTATTGGCTAGAACATAAATAACGTTTGCCAAAAGAATAAAAGGGGACAAATGTTGCTCCGTTGCGGAAAAACAGTGGGCTTTCCCAGATGTTGGCCACACATTCATGACGATTCAGAAACTCGCTCCCTGTGTTCCTCGCCACGGGGTGTCGATCATTTCTACTGGTTACGATAACCTAACCTCAATTCACGCAATCGCAATCTGCCATTCACTCCTCCGCAATAACTAAATGCATTCCTCCCTAAATAGGGACTGCTGACAGTTGGATATGACATTGTCGATGAATATAGTTCTCATCATTTATTAGATTATTTACGAAGAATTTTAATACGCAATAGCTGCCGAAAACTATGGATTCGCTTGCACAATTCAATTAATATTAATATATGTTTAGTAATTTAAACCTGAGTGATTAATAATTTAAACAATCTAAATATAACTTAATACTATAGCTTGAGAGCGAAGAGAAAATTTTCTAAATAGCTTTCTTTTCTTCTTTGTAAGAGACTTTTATTCTCTACGAGATATCTTCAATTGCCTGACTAAGTTGTTAATCGTTTGGAAAACATGCGGATCCCTTTTTGAATACTTGACCGAAAATATAGGATCGATTTTCCCACGGAAGGGTGAACGTCCCAAGGGCGTTTTAAACACGTGTTGCAACTGCACTTGCAACCCTTGAAATCTCTTCTCTCTGTTAATGATATCGTCGAATTCCCACATATTCATTCGTTTTGCTAATGTTCCATAATGGCTCATATAATTTATCTTTGATTCAATTTTCATCTTATTACTCAATAAAGAAACTCGCTCCTTTCATTTATAAATATTCTACAGCAAAATTTTATTGCAATGTTAATTATTTAATTTATGTCAGAATAAGAATTTTTAAGTACAATGGAAAATTTAAAGAAAATCAATGTTACGAAAAGATGGGTTTTCTTCATGTAAAATATCGATTTCTTCCACGGACAAAACAAGTAGTTCATTCTTTTCTCGCCTTACTTGTCACTTCTTGTGGATTATGTTTGAAAAAGAAAAATGTATTCGTGTAGAAAAGATTGGTCGAGGTCACCAGTGTAAGACTTAGATCCTAAGTAAACAGTGACACGAGCTGGGACTAATATGATCTATTACCTACAAATCTATACTGATCTATTTCCCTCTTATTTTAACATCTTAGCATTACAGAGAATAGTTGGTATTATCTATTATTTTCATAATTTGTCTTTTAATGCCAAAAAATTGTTTCTATATGTACACATACATATATTTCATAGGATTGATATGCAAAGAATATGAGGATATTGCAAAGAAAAAAATAAAGAATAATTATATTGTATTATGCATTAGATAATTCATTTTGCACGCTATAAAAAATGTATCAATATATTATTTAACAAGAATATTATTTAAAAATGTTGGCATTAAAAATTTTGAATTATCGAATTGATGTATAAAAAAATTAAATATAACGAAAGAAAACAAATTTATTTTTTTCCTCAATCCATGGCCATAATATAATCCTTAATTAGAATACTTAACATTAGTTATAATACTGTATTTTGCATCGTATTGACTAATTTTACTGCAATATTATTAGTAAATATTAAGTTAATTAACGTATTTTGTTAGATTTCCAAATTTCAAATGTATATACATTGGATTTAAATTGTAATTTGGAATGTTAAAATATTTCAAAAAATTCAAAATCCCAAAAATTCATTAATCGATCATCGTCGATATTTTTCTTATAAAATTTTCATTTTCGTAAATTTATTTTTCTACTTTTTTCATTTCTATAAATCATCGAGAAAACATCTCTTAATTATGCTTAATAATAGTCGATGATTTCTCACAGCTGATTTGTACCTTTATTTCCTAACTTCTAGATCAGTGATGAGCAACTTTTATTTTATAATGGATCAGAATTAAAAATCTAACATTCTATGCGATTTTTATTTTATGCGTATAGAATATTACGCATTATTAAATACTTATATATTAATTTAAAAAAATTTTAACTTATATAGAATGGAATTTGGCATTTCTGACATAGAATAAAACAGTGTCTTACCGAATACTTTAGTTATTTAACGAAACGCAGATAAGTAGTTGGAAGATTAGATAGATTGTTCATCATTGTTCTAGACGTTCGATTAAATTATTTTCACGTCAATGGATCAACATCAGATCGTGAAACGCGATTTGAATCTACAAGTATCTACAGAATGTAGTAAAATAATTACATAATTGTGATTCTTTGTACAATAACAAATTATTTTTTACAAATCTACTAATACAAAATTTAGCACATATATAAAAAAACAAATTCTATTCAAATGTTAAGATCAAATTGATATACTAAATCAAATATAAATTGCTTTCCTATTATCTACGTTACAGAACAATGTAACACTACAATATAATGATAAAATGTGATGTTAAAATATTGCATAAATAATGAAAAATAATGAAAAGATTTAATAAAATATAATAAAAATATATTAATAGACATAAGATGCTTTTAATTCATCATTATATAAAGAATCACTGTTTGTTATATCACATATTCGACCATATCCCTTAAAAACAATAACAAAATAAAGAAAATGCAGCAGACGAATATTAAGAGAAGAAAAATATGGTATAACTATCACTCACTATTTATAGGAATCCCTGAATCAACAAAGAGATATTTCTACAACAAACTCTTATTGTTGTTTCTTAATCTCACGTCTGTTCGCATATAAATGCTTGACCAGCAAGCTAATTTGATATTGTACTGAATCGTTGATCAACTATTGTTAGCCTGATCCAGTTCCTTGGCTTCTGCTTTCCTTATTAAGTTCTCGTTTACGATCGATCCGTAATCACAATCTATTCTTTCTTCTACTTTGGTTTTGAACGTCTCATCCAGATCTTCATCAAAACCACTGTTTTGATGAACATTTTTTAACTGTGCCCAAGAATTGTCACGTTCTGCTTCGATTACGAAGATGAATGGACATTTATCATCTCTGTCATCGGATTTTAAGTCATCAAAATCTTTGCTGGATTTCTGGTTAAAAGTATCTTCACTATCTTGCGTAATCGTAGCCGAAGATTCTTCTGTAGAACGATATATCTCTTTGCTAGAATCAGTAGAACCGAATATCTTCCCTTGATTTGGTTTTGAAATCAATTTTGATTGACTCCGGCGGTGAGAAAAGAATGTTCGATCTAGTGTCATAAAAGGCATCTCGAAGCAGAGTGTCCAGAGTACAGAGAGAAGTATTGTGAGACACAGGTTGCTGAAGAAACTACGAAGCTGTAAATTTAACCAACAATTAATTGGTTACGTGAAAATGAGATTAAGAAAATAATTGAAGTGATTTGATTTGAACTTGAGATTAATTTTTTCGGTTTTTGAAATATCTTTTATAATATTTGGAATTGTTCAATTAAATTCCATTAAAGTTATTTAATAAATATTTGATAAATAAAAAATTAGGAACATATCTATTTTAATACATTTAAGATTATGATAACTTACAATCGACATAGTTGAAATTGTGCCAGGAGTCCGAACTGATCCAGCTTCTAGTAACAAAAATACATAATGGCACAGATAAGCGCTATAAGTTAACTTACTGAAAGGAACCCAACCTTTCCAAGACAGGAACTGATTCACAAAACCTTAAATAAAGAAAAAAAGGAGAATTGAGATTTACAATATATTTGCTACTCTATACCAGAGTATAACTATTAATAATAATTGAATAATTGAATAGTCAATATTTGATGATAAATAGGAACAAATGAAATTTTATGCGCATAGTTCTGGGCATTGTATAAATCTTAACCATCATATAATTTATTTTGATACTAAAAAAATTTATGCAATATGAACTTTTTAAATAAATAAAATTAATAAAAAATAAAGCTTACCACCATAGCCATGAACGCAACAAAAGATAAGCCAGGAAATAGAAAGAGCAAAAATTTGTCTGTGGAATCCTGCGTAAAAACTTGCTTCTAATTCATTGTAACGATGATCATCAAAATACATCCAGCGGGGACATACGAATATGAAGAAACCGGAAACTGCAGCTATCAGCCAACCAAACGTTACATACATCTGAAAAGATCATTGATGTAATTAGTCAAGGAAGATAAGATTTGGAAGAAAAGACGTCGAAATATATTTTCCTCTTATCCTTGAAGAATTATCATTTCGTATGTAGTGATCACTTTCTCTTCATTTCAGCATAATATTCTTCTTTTTCATTTCTAAATGAAGAAAATGGACTACGTAAATTTATGAAAAATTTTAACAAAGTACTATAGACGAGAATAATATTTAAGAAATTAATTAAAGAATAATAGAGGAAATAGTCATTTAAATAACAATATAAATTCTTATTTAACTATATTTCAAATTAATGTTATTACGTATGTTATAATATTCATTTAAATTGAATAATATTTCATATTCTTAAATAAATAATATATTATATGTAGGTACTTGTGAAAATGTTATATATTTATATTTTCATAAGTACCTACATATTATACTTGTATATTACCTACATAATATATTTATATATTATATGTAGATAGTTATGAGAATATTATTATACTTACTAAACGAATTTTCAAAACTCTTGATCGATT